CCTTTCCACCTATTTTTGTGTCATCTTCAAATCTGGTTATGGTACATTCATTTCCTTACTCCAAGTTTTAATATTTATTGTAAACAGTTGCAGTCCCAGCACTTATCCTGTGAAATTCAACTAGTCACAGGTTGCCAACCTGAAAAATAACCTCTCGTTGTTTCTTGCCTATAAGCCAATTTTCTATCCATGTCAATATACTACCTCCAACACCGTGGACTCTTACGTCTTAATGTTTTGTGAAGTACCTTGTCGAATGACTTCTGGAAGTCCAAATACAATGCGTCTCTAAGTTTCCTTCTATCGACTCTGGTTGAGACTTCTTCAAAAAACTAATAAATTAGTTAGGCGTGATTTCCCTCATGAAGCCACGCTGACTCTGTTGAAGATGGTCATTGCCTGACATTTGTATAACACAAATGTTACTTGTCAGTTTTCAGCTCAGACCTGGATATTGCCCAGCTATTGCTGCATTTGACAGGGCCCACTTCTGTATCCGAGGAGTTGCGAAGGTTGCTGAACATTGTGCCATTATCGGTGAATACCCACACTTGTGACCTTATGATTGATTGAAGGTCATTGGTGTAATAACTGAAGATGGTTGGGTCAAGGACACTAACCTGAGGAACTCTTGGAGCAATGTACTGGAACACAGGTAACTGACTTTGAATAAGCACAACTATATTCCAATGTGCCAAATATGATTCCAAGCAGCAGAGCATTTTCCCTGATTTCCATTGACTCCACTTTTACTAATGCTTTTGTGTAGCATTTCTACATTACAGTCACTAACCAATCATGCTATGAAAATCAGCATTCTTCATAGGAGCTATTAAACTCCACAATCCATCCCTTCACAATATACTCAAATGACACATATCTATTACTGCCATACGTTGCTTACCACTTCTGGAAACTGACTTTAACTGTTGCAGAATTGATGCTTTATATTTTATATCAAAAGCAACATTCTAGTAGCTTAAAGTTAAAAACGACTGAACTTTTGCATCATTGTGCCTTCTACATTCCAAAATCATTGAGATGGAGACAACCTATTGGCAAAGTCTCACTAGGAACAAGTACCAGGAAGGAAGACGAATAGGAGCTTTCATTTTTCTTTTTAACAAAACACACTACCTGGATACCTGACAACCATTTGGATATCCAACTGGTTGGGAATTACTATGAGATGTAGTCACGCCGATAATGGGACTCTGGTTATAGAAGGAATGTGCCCAAACATAATCTAACACATGCAATAGAATTCAGTAGACATAACCATATTTGGACCACCATGTAGTTGTACAGACTGTCATTTGGCAAGACAGCCAACCCTTTGCACATTTAGGCAACTATTTTCCTCTGCAGGTAAGCGCATGATCAAATGAGATGCCGAAGAAGCAAAATTCCTACAGGATTCTCTCACGCTCTCTCTCTCTCTCTCTCTCTCTCCACCTATTTCTACAAATTCAAACCTTGCCTACATTTTTGACTAACCATGCATCACAGGCAGAATTTTTTTTTAAAAAACAAATCAACCAGCAGTTGTTGTATCTTGAAGAACAAAAAATAATCTGTCTACATCTTTAATCTGTCTCACTGCTGCAACTGGAATCACTACTGAACCCAGCCTGGATCCATTCAAGATATTAACCTATGAGAATTATGTCACTTTAACCTTACTGGGCTTTAAACTGCTTAAATTGATCCTCCCACCCTGTAACCTTCATGTGTGCATGTGTCAAATTTGGAGTCTTTATTATTTTGCTGCGACTGGGTTAAGTACGGTAAATATTACTCTCTCTTCTTTTTAAAAGCTCAAGGAAATCTGTAGATGTGTGCATCTTTTATTCACAACACAAAAACAGTTGATCATTGATTAAATTAGTGAGCAAATTTAAAAAAAAAGTTGTTGCAGTCAAATAAGGAGAGGGAAGTGAGTGAAACCAGTCTACTCCTCCTCACCCTTTTGTAACATTAATAAAGATAAAATATAATCAATGCAGCTTAGAGGTTTACACGAGGGGGAAAAGACAGAATCATGGACTCTGATGTGTAAACTCTAAACATCATTTATGGCAAACTTATTCAGTGGCTTTGATAAAACACTCTGCCTTAAATCAGCATGTGACAAAATAGCATAATGGGAGACCCTCTAGCACACTTAAATAAACTGACACACGATATTAGGTCAGAATTTGCTGCAGTTGGCAAACAGGTGTGCTTATTTTTCATCAGACTTAACCTTTACAGTTTAACTTGTGTCTTTATATCTGGATACTGCTGTAAATTAGAGATACAAATACCTTCTATAGGGCAGCTGGGACCTGACAGAACATGGCAAGCAAATATGTGTTTCCTTAATAAGTCAGTCTGAAATATTTTTAAACACCACAGCCTGAAACAGGAAGTACAAGTTCAAAGATTGAATTCAATGTCAAATCAGATATGAAAAGTGATATAAAGAAAGAAGAATCAAAAGGTTGAAAGATATTCTGTTTGCATTAGTCGGTGTGTAAGTAACTAGGGGTCACTCGAGAGCTAGGAGGGAGATGAGCAAAATCTTCTTTACTTAGAGTTGGTAGGATTTGGAACGAACTGCCTGAGAAAGTGGTGGAGGTGGATTCCACAGGCGATTTCAAAAGAGAGCTGGATATTCATTTGAAAGTGATGAATTCAGAGGGATATTGAGTTAAGGCTGGAGAACGGGACTAGCTGGACAGTTCTTTCAGGAGCAGTACAGGCATGATGAGTTGAATGGCCTGCTCTACTAATAGATTCTACGATTTTATAATTTTAATTGCTTACATGCATTTGCCTTAAGTCGCTACTTAATTTGCTCATAAATAGTGGAATGCTATTTGCCTTGCCATTACTTTCACATTAAATTCTGGCCCACAGGATAAATATTAGGCAGAATTAGGGCTGAAAAGATTTAATGATTCACTTCAAGAAGGTGGAATCTTCATGGTCCCTGAAAGACGTGTTTGTAGCTGGTCAGTTGTAAAAATTGGGTGGGATTAGCAGAAATGAGATTCTCAATGTCAAGAGCAAAATGTTGGGTTCTGTAATGAAATGTTGAACAGTGAAACAGAAATCTTGTGTGTGAGTGGTGAGAGGCTACTTGCATGTATTAGCATGTCATTATTAATAAGCTCACGCGCTGTTTCCTTTCTTCCACCTGGCAGACAGAAACTTGATAATTCTTGACATGGAAGTCAGAGACACTGATGAATCCAGCTCACTGCTTACACCTCCAGGCTTTCACCTTGAAACACCTAGCACCAACACCTCCGGGCATGCTCCTTAAGCAGTGACTGCCCACACCTTCTGGCAACAGATGCTGGAAACGGACGTGTGCCAGCAGGTTAAGCTACAATTAAATTGAATACGCTTCGACCAAATGCCCAACTCTCAAAGCACAGTATATGTCAATGACAACATAGTGAGGGAGGGAGGGGTGGGAGGCAAGGAAAGGGGTTGAGGAAGGGAGGGAGGGAAGGAGAGGCAGGAGCAAGAAAAATGTGCATTGTATTTACAAAGAAGTATCACTTGAGTACCCTGTGAAGTATTTTGTTTTGGTTCCCCTCCCACTCTACTGTGAAGTGTAACTCTTGGCTTGACCTGGCGCAGGCTGAGCTTTAAAAATGCTCCAGCGCTAGGAATCCCAGGAGGTCCCATGAGTGGCAATACTTCCCCCTTTGGGGAGGCGGAAAACAGGACAAGAAAGGAGCTATATGACACGATGCATAGCTAATGATGTGACTTTCAGAGAATAGCGAGAGAAACTAAATTCATAGAGAGAGAAACCCTCCATCAAAATGGCTGAAGCTGACAACTAGTCAATTGCTGATAAAATTAGGTCCAGGTTACCAATGCCATTAAATCAAGCTGCATTTACTACTGAAAGAAAGTTAATGGCATATTCAACATAAAATAAAATATTTACAAGAAAAAAAATCATTATGTGCTTGTAAAACAAATAATATTGCTTGTATGTGAAAAAAACTTTAGCTTGAAGTTCATGGGGTTTCACCACAACCATCATAATCAGCTTAATTCAAAAGGCTGCAACAGGAATATGTCCCACAATTGCACTTTTTTTGGAAAACTGGCATGGACCATTGACAGAACATTTATGCCTCAGTCCATCCTGCATTTTTTTATTATTGTTGAAAAATGACTGGAAATATTCTCTGAATGAATAGAGGAACCAATTATTTCAAGGAGTTATGGCTATGATTATATGAAAATTAAGGCAAAGTGAAAAAGATCTTATAAAGTGGCACTGGTGTCTTCAGAAACAGCAATGAGTTAAATGTTGAGGTATGTCATCACATTTGATACAATGACAGCTTGTCTGTGACTTGCTTCCCAGGGTGACAGTGGCACAAAAGTTCGACTGATTCATGATAGATTTGTTGCCAATGAAACCTTCCCATATAGTCCTGGCTATGGTCATGACACTTCAAAATTTTCCATTTTATTAAGTTTAATGGCAACTCTGAACTGGAATAAAATACTCAATTCTGAGTTCAAATTAACTACACAGTCGTTGAATGATGCACACGACTCTCAATAAGTTTTAATCAGTAAAAAATTAAGCTTTTTCTAATAACTAACTTCTCATTAATGCTCAGCAATCCAGGTTTGGAGGGGATATAAATCCACCATTTTTAAAATTCAAACTAATTATTTCACAAAAACCTGAACCACAAGTCTTCTTGGTCACTCAATACCCGATATGGGAGAACGAGGGAAGATGACTATTGGAGACAATGCATGGAATGATACCAAACTAATTTCTGTAGTTTAAATTTAGCTAAAGCATATACTTCATACTATAACTACAAAGAAAATGTGCAGCTGCCCCCTCTATTTTTTTTTTTTTAAAATAACCAGTTGCACAAAATAAATGCCAATATTTTAATTGTTACCAACTTACATGCACAAATTTACAAGTTACACTACTTCAAGAGGTCAACATCAATTACACTTACCTTGGAAATGCATCAAAGCAGTAAGTTTTCCTGGTATCAGGGAATGCCACTCGCAAGCCAGACATAAGAGGGGAATGAAGAATAACAGCTGCACATTCATAGCGTGATGCAAGATCTACCGTTGGGACAGTACCAATGCTTTGACCATACAGGATGATGTTCTCTGGACTGACAGCATACCTGAAAGAAAAAAAATACGAGACACACGTATTTGAATAAAATAATAAAACAAGTCAAAGCAGTTATTTAAAACACAGTGATGATTTTCACACCATTCCTGGATGGGACTATTATATGTTCTACAGGTAGTAGTTATCTTCAGTCTGTTGTTCAAGTTTCTATTTTTCCAGGTATGAGATATTCAGAATATTACTTTTTCCTTTTAAACTGAAGGCACATTCTCCCTCAATTCAGGGGGTCCTCAAGGCTCCATCTAGATATGCTTGTTCATCAAATGAATAAACACCCCGTACATATATGTACATGTAAAATACCACTCATTTGCTAATGACTTTACTTGAATGTTAACATCTTTCAAATTGCACACTCTCAGAACATAAAGCACGGTGGCACAGTGGTTAGCACTGCTGCCTCACAGCGCCAGGGACCTGGGTTCAATTCCACCCTCCGGCGACTGCCTGTGTGGAGTTTGCACATTCTCCGGGTGCTCCAGTTTCCTTCCACAGTCCAAAGATGTGCAAGTTAGGTGGATTGGCCATGCTAAATTGCCTGTAGTGTTCAGGGATGCGTAGATTAATTGGGGGAAGGGTTTGGGTGGGTGCTCCGAGGGTCGGCATGGACTTGTTGGGCCGAAGGGCCTGTTTCCACACTGTAGGGATTCTATGATTTATCTTCATGTAATTATTTACTTTCAAGATTTCATTTTTTAAAAGTTTTTTTGTAAATTAGTCAAGGATAATGTTTCTTTAAATTATTTAAATACTTCATGTTTTAGAAATTCGAATACCTCTTCTCTTTGATGATTCAATACAAGCCATATATTGACAATCTTGAACATACAAGCTCATGTGGAACACCAAACATGATCTGTATTGTGTTCTCAAAGAAGTTCACATTTAAGATAACCATTATTTTTCTTTAACTACGTTGCACAATACTTTAATGCTGTCCCCAAAATCTCATATGTTGAACAGGACCAAAATAAAACTCACTTAGCAGTGTATCTTCTCACCTTTAGTGAGCACAATCATAAATCTTCTAGCCTACATTTATTGCAATGAACTTATATGTCTATTCAGGGGGGATGGAAAAGGTCCCATGGTGTTCTAATCAATATTCAATCCTCAATGCCACTAAAAGCAGACTAACTGATCGGTCATTTGTTTGGAGGAACGTGCTGCATACAAACTGGTAGCTATGTTTCCTTTTAAAGTGACCAGACCTCAAAAGCAGACAATTTATTTTCAAGCTCTTTGTGGATTCAGAAGATATGAATGGCATTACATGAATCCAAGTTCTTTATTATTAAGTTCAACGTTACTCTGAAATCCTCCCTTTTCATTGAAATGGAAAAAATGCCAATCCATATGCTTTTCTACCAAGGGATCCCAATTCGCATGATTCAGGTATCTGGTGCCATTTTCAAACAAAAAGAAAATGATTATAACTCTACACAATTAAGACTAAGAATTTTCAAAATAAGACTGGGTATAAGTAAATTAAGTATGGGTTATAAAGAACCTAACTGGCAGTGTTTTTAATTGTATCCCTGGATTTGGTAAGAGGCTCTTGAACATAGACTTTGTGTGGTAAATACCTTCCTTGATAATCTCTTAGGAAAAGGTAAATAGTCATTTTTTCAAAGGAGCCAAAACTTAAACCCTTGGAGACATGTGTTAAATTAATATCAATTTGTACTCAAAGAGAAACCTGGGGGATGAAGCCAAAGATGATTACTTTGTACCAAGAAACTGCAGTTCTCTAAACTGACATGGAGACAGCCATTTTGAGGTTAATGATAAATTAATAGTACCATATACAAGTAGTCTCTGTATAATGTTAAGCAAGGTTCCACATGTTCAGAAATGTGTCCAAGTTCCTCAAACTGGCCTTCAGCTTACTTTGTAATATAAGCTTGGTTTCCACTCCACACTTAGAATTTAAACAAACATTGTATGAAAAGCAGCCTGCCCCATGTACTGAAGAAAGTGCTGCTGAAAATTTCTCCTGTACTCACAAAAGCAACTGATGCAAGTAGTGAAGAAAACAAACTGGTAGGAGCCAACTCTTGATATTTATATACAGTACACAAATATTTATATCCCAAAAGCAAAAATAAACTAAATGTTTACATACATGATGGTGAATAGAAAGGAATAAGAAAAATGGATGTGCAGTTTAACCACTTTAGACAATTTGATTGCCAATAAAATATTGTAAACAAACTGCACAAATGAAGATTGAAGACTGGATTTTAAGAAAATACCTTTTCCTCTCACACTATTCATGAAACAGCCTCATTTGGAGCATGATTTTACACTAAAAAAAAGACAAACATGAGAAACAGGAACAAGGGATAAAGCAGTCACATTCCAATAGGATACAAAAAACGTGTTTTTCAGAATTGTCCGATAAATTTGGTATACCTGTAAAAGTGATTTCAGCAATGAATCAGAAGGTGAACAAAAAGCTTATGTTGGGACTTATTTAAAATTCTGTAGCTGTTCTGATATTCAGTGGAAATATTTTGCCGACATGCACTGTTTGCATGGATTCCAATCCAAACCACATTTTCCTTCAGTAAATATTAGAGAAATTGGATTAGTGGCATGCTTTATTAAATATCAAATCAAATCAATACTAAACACAGTGAAGGAATCACAAACCACATTACAGCAGGTAACTTGAAGTAACACAAATGACTAAAATATCTTCAAAACAATGTAAAAATGCAGCTTCAGAGATGGCAGAAGGCACCAAATGTGTTGCAATGAAGTAACTGAGGAAGGCAGTAGCATAGTGCTGATGTCATTGGATTAGTCATGCAGAGACCCAGTCAAATGTTCTGGGGGGACATGGGTTCAAATCTCAAGTCAAATGGCAAAAGACAAAAAGCTGCTCTCATGACAACTATGCAACCACTGTCGATTGTTACAAAGTCTAAAGTCCTCTAGAGAACAAAATATGTCACCATTACCTGGGCTGGCCTGGACGTGACTCCAGAGGCACAGCACTGTGGCCGACTTCTAGACACCACCTAGGCAATTAGAGCAGGGCAATATCGGCTTCACCAGCAATGCCCACATGCCCAAAAGACATCACCTTACGCACGGATCTACTTTCCAGCAGTTCAGAGGTATAGATAATTAAGTAACGGACAAGTTTTACTCAAAAAAAAATCCAAAAGAATCCTATAATATGCTACATATCAAACTAGGCAAAAAACCTACAAAACCCCAACAGGGTTCACATTATGTAGGGACACTGGATGAATTAACCTCAAAAGTACAAAATAGCATTAAAAGAAATCAAAGTTGGGTGAAAAGTGAAAGGAAAGACACCCTGATAAAATTTCTTTCCCCCAAACAGTTCCCTTGTATTGGAAATGGAGCTGAACACTTGAAAGTGCAGTCATCATTCTACGCAGAAAAATAATGCACCGCTTGGATTGGAATAATGGTGCAGGACAGAGAGAATGGTGGCCTGTTCAATCACACTTGCTGTCTCTCCCATGCTCAAGTCACAGGTTTTGTCCTTGCTGCTCACTCTGAGCCAAAAGACATGATTGGAAGAACAGCAAATCCTGAAGTTTGAAACTCTGAACGAAGTTTAGGAGCAATTATTTTAGCTCATCTTCTATGCAAAAGACTCAGCTGCATCTTTACACATCATGACAAGGCCAGGGAAAAGCTGCCGTAAACAAAACAAAAAAAAAAAGCAATGGTGGTAGCCAGAGTCTCACAATGAGGCTGGGACAGATAGGATCTGGTTATTGGCTGACTTATCACCTTTTTGCAGTGGAAGCGCCCAGAGGAATTTTTTAAGAGAGATGAGAAATAGAGAAAATTTGCAGAAGCAGGTTAATGAGGAGGTTAGGACTCCAGGTGTGGGTCTGGGTCTTGTGCTATTTGTTATTTGATAGTCAGCTTGGAGTTACAGCATCAATTTGTATGAAGTCCTCTTGTTGCAGTTAGAAGTCAGCATCCTGACGCGTTTAAAGTGCTGAAGAACCCAAGTGCTGACGGAATTAAATCTTTTTTCCTTCATCAATTTCAAAATGGGGAATGGTACAAATTTCTTGAATTTTTTTTTTTTTTTTTTTAAAAGGAGCTGTAGATATGATATGCACTCTCAATAACTTACCTTGTGTCAATTAGTTAAGTTTCATTTTGAGGTTGGAGTAAAAGAAATTTAGAATAAGTTCACAAACTTAAGGACAACAAGGTGCAGGGCTGGATGAACACAGCAGGCCAAGCAGCATCATAGGAGCAGAGAGGCTGACGTTTCGGGCCTAGACCCTTCATCATCTGCAGTTCCTACTATCTCTGATTCAACACAAACTTATTAACTTGTTTATAGAAGTAATTTATGAGAAACTGAATACTAGAATCTGGCATGCAGATTTCAAGTTAAAGTTAAAAACAAATAATTAAATAATAAATGCATCCCAATAAGGAAATCACAGAGCAAAATTTATCACCAATACAGATGGTATTCCTACAGCATGACTGCCTTACCTAATAAAAGAGCTGGTGAGAATGAGAAAGGAACCCCTCAAAAATCAAAATGTAGCCCTCAAGAAAATTTCAAAAGGAGACCTTATGGGAGGAAAGAAAATTCAACCCCTGAACAGGTAATACAGATCTTAAAGCAAAGACCGTAATGTATCGACATTATAGGAGGGATGCGTTTGCCTAGGAGAGGGTACAGAGGAGACTTATCAGGGCTGGAGAGTTTCATTTATGAAGAGTGATTAGATAGATGAGGTTGCTTCTTTTGGAGCAGAGGAGACCGAGGGGGTACATGACTGAAATATATAGATGGGAAGAACCATTCCCCTTGGTAGAGGGATGAACAACCAGGAAGCATTGATTTAAGGTAAGGGGCAGGAGGTTTACAGGGGGTATAAGGAAAAACGTTTTTACCCAGAGAGTGCTGGGAATCTGGAACTCAATGCCTGTTAAGGTGATAGAGGCAGAAATCTTCATATCATTTAAGTAAT